TTTGCATTCTGGACTTTTTCTTTTGCACTCCTGGCATAGGACAACAACATAAGTAGACCCTGCATCCCAAAAGGGCATCCATGGTATTTATCTTTTGCCTAACACAATGGCACCAGAAGTTGCAGAGAGTAATGTGCAAACCCACACCCTGGGTACTGCACCATCTTTGTCCAAAATTTGGAAACAGTTGACCTAATAAGTCAACTAGAAGGTCTAGAATCTTAGTCTATTTTATTTCAGAACTGAAGTTTTACTCATGAATGGGTCTATGTATATTGTCCATAACAGGACAATTATTACTATTATTGTGTGGCTGTCTCACTCCCAATGACCACTGTGTAAACTCTATGGGTTAAAGTGGGCCTTCACCTCCTTTGACTAAAGATCACATCAGCATACAGCTCTGTACACTGATATGAAATCATCTGGCATTCAATAGCTAAACACCCTTTTATTTACTTCCAATTTCTTTTTTTGCCTACTTCCTGGTCCATTTCGGCACAAATTATGTAATCGTACCCAAGCATTGCATCCTGGGAAGGTTACATCAACGGGAAATCTGATCTGTAATCTCATAAGTTCTCAGGGAAAGGTATTTTCCTCCCCCTGAGATGATGTGCATGGTCACATGTCCTAGTGACAGGTGCCAGATTTCCAGGAAGTAAAGGGAGATCTAGTAACCTGCCCTTAGTAAAAACGGCCACTGTGAGAAGAATGGGGAGGAAAAGAAAGAATAAGGTATGCAAAAAAAATAAAAAGCTGGCAGTTATCTAGAAGCATGTGTTTGTAGATTGTCATTATTAAACATTTCTAAAGGCACCTTTGTTGTTATTTTGAAGATATGGGTGAAGTTCCTCTTTTAAAGGAGAACTATGAGGTGAGTGCTTTTCACTCACCTCATAGTTCTAGCCGACCTGTGACAATGGAGGTGAGCGAACACATACCGGCGTTCGCTCACCGCTCGATCCTGTCACGGCTCTCTAGATAGGCAGAGCCAGCTGTCAGTCACGCTGCTGGGCGGATCCCGGCATAATTGTTGGGATCCGCTTCAGCTGCGGCGTCTCAGTATACCGCGAGCAGCAGCTCGCGGTATACTGTGGCGTCTCAGTATACCGCGAGCAGCAGCTCGCGGTATACTGAGCCTAGGGTGACGGGAGGATGCTAGTTTGTGTCCTCCCGTTACCCTAAGGAGAACTATGGGGAAAAGCCTTAACCCCATAGTTCTCCTTTAAAGAACCCTAGTCCAGAAGCCTCAACATTGCTGGCATTGCCACATGTATTGTCTGTTTACTGTTTGGCCTTTAGGTTAAGCGATAGTCATTTTCCTTTGTTCAATGCATAGAAGTAGATTGAAAGCGTGTAGTAGTCATGTGGGACAGATCTAGGTCAGCCTATGTGAATTACTAGGGAAAGGGGAGCTTTAAAAAAAAGACTTGTGCAAATGGGTGAGCCAGAACACACTCTTGGTGCATTAGCATTTAACTTTCATTTTTCGGTGCACTAATACAGTTTTAAAAAAAGGTTTAAATTACTGGAATACACCAGTAATGGAGCTATAATTTTTTCAAATGCTAATTTTACCAAAGATTTTTTTTTGGTTGCATGCCCAACAGTGTTTTTTGAAAGTATTTGAATGTTTAATTTCCTAAATATTAGTGAACAAACATGTTTGCACTCTCTTGCAGGTCCCAACTTATTTGCTGAGGGTGTGGCCCACGTAAAGCACCAGTACGAAAGCCGAAACAAATCTTCCAACAAGGAGATTTATACTCACATCACCTGCGCCACTGATACCAACAACATCCACTTTGTTTTTGATGCTGTCACTGATGTCATCATTGCCAATAACCTTCGTGGTTGTGGCTTATACTGATCTGCTGGCTGTAACAAAAACATTGGTGCCTTTCGGCCACCAGTTTTGGGGCTCTACAGAGATTTGTCCCCTAATAATATTCTGGACCATCTCCAGTAGCAGTTTGTTTTTTGACTTTGGTCATCACAGATATATTTGTACAGCCGTTGGCTATGTAAAAATTTGGTGCACTTTTGAGCGCAGCACGGGTCCGTGTATAATATTTGTATTACACACTCCCCGTGTATATACTTTAGCATCTGTTGATGCCCCCCGAATGTGCCTTCTCTTTCTTGTGCTCTGTATTCAATGATCTATCGTGAAAGCACAGATCTGTGTAATATAATTATTTTTAATGACCTATTTAATGTGCATTGTGAAAAAAGAACCACAGAAGATGATCATAATGTATGCTTGCACTGAACATGTCTGCCCAGTGGTGCCAACAATAAACACTTAAAGTATTCTCTTTTCTTTAAATGACCAGTAAACATAAAAAATACCTTTGCGTTAGGTTCTCTCTTAGATTTATTTATGTGTACTGGCCTTTTAAACATGTGCCATAATACCGCTGTTGTACTGTAATGTATTTTTGCTAGCGTGAGCTGTAATTTGCATATTAACTGGTTCGTATCGATACCTAAACTTGCACAAATCTCCGAGCTGTTTCCCGTATGTGTATATGGAGTAAAGATTGGGGAAAATCCTTTGTGCCAGTCTTTCTTCTGATGCCATTTCAGAGTTAATATATATTTAAAATTCATTATTGCTTTATGTGGAACTGCATTTCATGACATTTCAGATACAGTAGGTATATGATATTAATAAACTTTTAAAGCACTATCACAGTAAAAGGTGTTTGGTTTGTCTCCAAGGAGTATGACTGTAGATTGCTACAGTTAATTCTCTTCATTAACAATAATAGACCCAATGCGCTGCTACTTTGCGTCATTTCTTCTTTCTTTATTCTAATGTGTGAGCTTGGAGTACAAAAATAGGCCTCTAGTTATGTAACTGGGTTGGATGGGGTACTTTTCATTTGTGTATGTATTTTATTGGTATGCATATGATATATTCATATGTACAAACAAGGCATCTAACTGGGGATATTAGCATTCTCAACAAGGAACGTGGTATTACATGCAGATGTTATATGTTTTTTCAAAATGTCAAGGCTTGTCGATGTAACCTTTTAAAATGCATTTGGCTTTGGAATAACAGAACTTTTCATTCACATGTAGGTTAATCATACTAACCGTTAAAGTATATCTAAACCAAAACAATGAAACTACATATGTTGTTGCACATGTACGTATAATATTGGAAAGATGAATCTTTTTTTATGCATCTTTATTTAAATCATACCAGCTTAGGATATCCACTGACATCTTGTGTCTTAGGGTGACAACGCTTACTCAGTTCATCTGAAGTGTTATAACCATTTCCAGAAAAGGAATACAAGCAGCCGTGTCAACGCACAGTTTGCTGGCACTACTGTTGTCACCACAGTAACTGCAATGTTCAGCTGCTAATGGAGCGGACGCATGTACGAGGAAGTTCAAGCAGGGTCTATGAGATGATAACATATGCAAAGTTAAAGTGGTTCTCCCCCCCATCCTCCCCCATACATACCTTTTTTTTCTTTCTTTTTTTTGCAGCATTCCTGCCATCCCAATAATGTCACTGTAGCTTTTTCTCTTTTGTCCGGTGCCGGCAAGGGGCAGGCATTTTTCCAGGACTGAGCAGCACGCATATAATGTATAAACACTGCTCAGTCCTGGGGTCCTGTGAGCCCAGCCTGCCTGATGACATGGGAGGAGGGGGGGGGATATAAATGACAGACTGGGCTCACAGCAAATGAGCAGAATGACTGAGTGTCCTTCTGCCCAGAAGAAAACCTCTGGCACCAGATGAAGGCGGAAATTGGGGAGAGCGCTGGAGCATGGAGAAGGTAAGTATACAGTAGGAGGACCTTAAAGGAGAACTATGAGATGAGTGATTTCCACTCACCTCATAGTTCTAGCCGACCTGTGACAATGAGACTGTCACAGGTCGGCTCAGTAGATCGGGAAGTGAGCGAACACATATCAGGTTCGCTCACCTCTCGATCCTGTCACGGCTCTCTGCCGTGACAGGGGGAGGGCTGGATTCCCCTCTCCCCGCTCCGATCTGCCAGCGCTGACTGGCGGAACGGACGGGGAGGGGGCGGGTACAGCTGGCTCTGCCTCTAGATAGGCAGAGCCAGCTGTCACTCACGCAGCTGGGCGGATCCCGTCATCTACGTCGGGATCCGCTGTGGCGTCTCAGTATACCGCGAGCTGTAGCTCACGGTATACTGAGCTTAGGGTAACGGGAGGACGCTAGTTTGTGTCCTCCAGTTACCCTAAGGAGAACTATGGGGAAAAACACTGACCCCATAGTTCTCCTTTTTAAAGCTAAAAAACAAACAAACCTGGATTTCTGTTTTAAGGGAAAGCTGCACTTTGGTAACAAAAATAAATAAATTGCAGTCCTATTTTATGTACAGTGCTCTAGAAAACTATTTGTTTTTGTGAGAGTTTAGATCTACTTTAATAAAAAATATTGTTAATATCAATGATATACTTTATAGGTTATAAACCAATGGTCTTGCCAAGAGGTGATAGGGCTTTGGTGTTGGTTGAAGTGTTGTCTGACAGTAGGGTGCATCAAAACCTGTGTTATTCAACATCATACTGAGATTATGATGATAATGAAGAAATAGAATTGTGTGAGTGAACATACACCCCTGTGTGCAAGATATGACACAGTGGCCCTGTGGAGTAAGAGGCCATACTGAACAATGAGATCGATAGTTGCAGACTTCACATTCTGTGATTCACTCTTTGAACTGAAAAATATATCTTCCCTTCGGCAGTATAGATAACATATAAGCATTTTTTTGATTATGTGCTGCAGATAAAATATATGCTGTAGCTCCTTTCTGATATATTGAATGAATCCATGTAGTTTGTTTGCAAGCCCTTCTTCAGGAAACCATAGACTCTAATAATAATGTTTCCTTTTTTCTTTGTTTTACACTGGTAATCGTTCCTCTCTCCTCAGCCTAACTCCTTTTCTCCTTTTCTTTCTGTCTTCTGTCTCCTTTTCTCCTGCCTCCTCGCTGCAGAACCGAATGCACGAGTCTCTAATGCTCTTCGACTCCATTTGTAACAACAAGTTCTTCATTGACACATCGATCATTCTCTTCCTCAACAAGAAGGATCTATTTGCTGAGAAGATCAAGAAGTCTCCTCTGACAATCTGCTTCCCCGAGTACACAGGTAGGTGCTGAATTTACATTTCAGAAGAAAACAAATGTGTTTCTTGTCGGTTCAAAAATTGGTTTACTGTTCTCCAGCAACAATTTTAAATGTAGTTATGGAATCTGCTGTTGCACCTTTAATGTAGAAGACCATGGAATGTGAATTTTCTTTTACACTAATTGCGCAGCAGTGTTTGGTGTGGTGATGGGGCACTGCCATTGCAGAAAATCACGGCTTCACCTTATGCTATGCTGTCCTGGGAAAACGTTTTATGGCCGTCATTGCGACGCCTCTTAGCAGCTATCTAGAACTGTTTTCTCCTTGGCTGAGCCTGGGCCTGGACAGCATCACAAGAAAGATGTGCAGCAGGTCTATTATATGTTCAGAGCACTGGATCCTGCGTGGGACACTTAGCACAATGTGTGCAGTTGCCACAGGGTTCTATACAGGTCCAGTGCCATGTTCCATCCCAGTGGAGCCCTGCCCCTTAAGACACCTTTTGGGTGGGGTAAGACCAACAGGAGGGCAAAGATTGAATGGGGCAAGTCTTCTTTAAATTACCATCATTCCTGGCTGGATACAGCCGCACAAGGGGACAGGTAAGCCAGGGCTAGTCTCTGCAAAGGTTACCATGGGTTGTGTGGAGGGACACCGCTATTTTTTTATAAAAACATTTTTAAATTCAACGCAATTTCTGGGTTCCCATAGGCAGCCTGTCTTCACGTGTGCCTGCCATTTACTTCTGCTGGCATGTGCTGAGCTAGCCACACACTGCTACTGTTGCTGTAGTGACTCTGCAAAACTGCACAGGATGAAAAAAAAATTCTGCATTGCTACACTGCAACACCACTTTTGCCTGCAGTGTTAGGACACAAGGCACCTTGCAGCCTCTACAGTTACCAATATCTCATGTACTCCTAGACAATGGCATATTATAGATGCAGGGCTGTCTGGGCGATAAGCACTGGGGCCACACAGCCTGACAGCAGTTCTGGGGAGGGTTCTGTCTCCTTTGGGGACACTGTGTTTGCCAGTGCTATGCTTTGCTCCTGTTCTCCATTGCTGCCCGGCTCAGGGTTCTCCTCTGCCACCTCTAGGGCACCATCCTCTAACTTTCTATCGGGAGGGGAGTTTACTTCTGCAATGGCTGAATTAATGGGTAAAATGTCTGACCTATAGAAGTCCTCCTCCTGACCTACCTCTGTCTGCGTTTACACCCCTAAGGAAGAAGGGGCTGCTTCCAGTTCTATGGACTCAGCCCAGGAAGTGGTTCTGCCTCCTAACATCTCTCCTAAACTCAAGGATACTATTTCTGTCTTTGTAGATGCAGTGCATTATTGTTTACGGTAAGAGCCGCCTGTATCGGCCTTGCCAAAGGTTACTAGTCTGGATTTTTTTTTAAATGCCCAAACGTGCTAATGCCTACCCTGTACACTCATTTGTACAGCTGGTGTTGTAGGGTGACTGGTATCACCTATAAAGGTTTGCCCAGCAATAACCTATTGAAGTGGGTTTCTCTAAAGTGAAACTAAACTCAGGAGTTCAACCTTAAAAATGCATTTAAGTATTTTAACTAATAACAAAAATGTATTTTGTGTGTCACTCAGCTGTAGATCCTCAAATCATCACTGAATTCATGCATTACAATGATCCTCATTGTTCCTAACTGGTCCAAGAGACCGAGGTATGCAAATGTGGTCAAACTCCTGAAAGACTTTCTGTGGAGACTTTGATTGTCCGGACATCATGTCCCAGGGACCGGTATTTCACCCTGTTTGTCGGTCGCTGGCTTTAATGTCCTGCTTTGGTCACAAAGTTATTCAGGTGGCCTTTTGAATTGTGGGCTCCTTCTTATATAATTCCCTATTGATTCCGGAATCAACTCCCTGTGTCCAGGGATGTACGCCCCCAAAAAAATGATTTTAAAGGCAAGATAAAAATCCTGTTTTCCCTAAAATAAGTTCAAATAGACAAGCCAATGCATTTTGGGGAGTTTTACAGGTCCTCCTTCACTTGAGACCCCTTGTATGA